GGGGGGGGGGGGGGGGGGGGGTGTACCTCTGCTGGTGTAGGACCTCTTCCAGCAGGCTCCGGCCCTCCCGGCTGCCGGCCCCGCCGCCGTGCGGGCCCGGGCTCGGCGTGGGCAGCTGGAAGGCGCTCAGGCCGCCCCTCGTGGCCCGGCTGGAAGAGGAGGGCGGGCACACCTGGCGAGCCAGCCCCTTGATCTTGTTCAGGCCCAGGAGCCCTTTGGCCCTCGTGCTCTTCCTCAGCTGCTGCCGGAAGGCTTTCAGCCCTGGGGGGTGCAAAATCAAGCCGGTCCGTGGGTGGCCCGCAGACCCCGGGCCGGCGTGAGCAGGGAGGGACCCCATGCAAACGTGAAGGCATGAACGGATGGCTTTCCCGTGGGGGTTAAGGGCACTCTCTGGTCATCCGATCGGATGACCCCTCCCGGGGCTAAGTCCTCTTTTCTTCAGAGTTTGATTTGGGGCAGCAGCTCCAACCCCGAACGAGTCTGGGCAGGGGTCCTCTGTGGACGGAGGCACGAGCGGGGCGGTGGGCTGAGGGAGGGAGCCCAGGCAGGCAGGTGGGGGCTGCCTCTGTGGAGGGTCCCTCCCTGACCTGTCCCCTCCTCCAGGTGAGGCGCTGTGGCCTGGCATCCAAGTGTCTCCTGGGCTTTTAGGACCGGCCACTAGGAGACCCTGTGAGTTCATCCCAGAAGACGGGGACATCTAGAGCTCCCCGGCCAGAGACTCGGGGCACGCCATCTGCACCGGGACAGGGTGACACCCTCCCAGGGGCACACACAGCACCTTCTGGGACGGGTAGAAGAGGAGCAGGAAAGGTTAGTCACCTTGAGTGAGCGAGGTGTCCGACGCCCTCCGGCCTTCCTGGAAGCTGATGGGGAGCAGAGTGACCCCTCCTGGGGCCCCCTGAGCCTGCAGCACTGGGGTGGCAGACTGGGCCCCCAGGAGCGGTGAGGCCAGTCTGAGAGGGGAACAGGTGCCCACCAGCCCCTGGGCGGCCAGGCGTCCACTGAGCCCCGCTGGGCCGTCGCCGGCCGAGAAGGTCAAGCAGCTGTCGGAACTGGTGCCCTCCGAAGGGCTCGCGGCGGAGGAGGAGACGACGATACCTGCAGAAGAAGCACGCGCTCCTGAGGGGCCTGACGCTCCCCACGGCCAGAAGCAACCCACCAGCAGCCAAGTTTTCACCGGAAGTCAGAGGAAAGAGCAGGCACGGACACTTTCTCCGTGCCTGGTGCACAGCCCCTGGGTCTTGGGACAGCCCGTGGGGCCAGCTGACAGGGGCAGACGGCGGTGCTGGCCTCCCTGTGCCTACCCTCAACACGGGGCAGGAGTCTATGACGGCCAGAGGCTGTCAGAGGCGTCTGGGAGCCATGATGGTGGCCGGCCACCTTGAGGGTGCGGCTGCCGCCGTAGCTGACCGGTGGGGCTCAGACAAGGACACACGGGGGCCTGGGCTGCGGACCGGCCCTTCCGGCCCCCGGGGGCAGCCAAACCCCAAGCTGTCCTGCCACCGGAGGACCACGTGCAGTCTCGAAGTAGGATCTGCGTGGCCTCGGGGTTAGAGCAGAAGGCAAATCCGGACAAGGGCAATCGGACGCCCACCAGCCAATAAGGTGCACTCTCCATCGGCCGGTCAGAGTCTCCACCGCACGCCCGCCCCCTGGCCGGTGCCCCGGGCCGCGTTCCTGCCCCACCGGGCACTTACACGGAGGGGCACTCGGGGAGAAGCAGGTGGAGACCTCGGCCAGCGTGTGCCTCCGGCCTGTGCCGCCGGACAGGGGCTCCTGCGGCTCCCGCTCCTCCTCCAGGCCCTGGCCCTGCCTGACCTCCTCACTGATGCTCGCGTCTAGCAGGCCGCTCGGGGAGGTGGGGCGATTCCGGAACACTCCGTTGCAGTTGGCGTCCAGGGGGAAGAGCAAGGGCTGGGGGGACAGACACAGACCTGTAACTCCTGGGGCTCCACGGGACGCGGGTGGGGGGTCGTCACCACGGCTGGGAGAGCCCCTCCCACGCGACGGCTGCCCAGTGTAGATCACACACCTGGAGTGAGCTGAGGGGGTCACAGTCTGCGTCCGCCTGCAAGACAGACTGCCCGAAGGCCTGGGGCTGTGGGCACAGCAGGGAGGGCTGGAAAGAGTCACCAGACAGGCCTTCCTGAGGCACCTGCGGGCAGACAGAGGACAGACGTCAGCAGGGAGGTAGCTTTGGGGACAACCGCAAACAGCGTCACTAGGAAGGCCCCACTGGCTCTGCCACGGGGCTGACAGGTCAGTCACCAGCTGCCTGGGCTCAGGACATATGCACCTTCCTCTCCAAGGCCATGCCGCCCAGGGTGACCAGGGGAAGGTGTCAGGAGGCCAGACCGGGGACAGTTAAGGAACAAGTGGCTGCAGGGTAGTGCCTGACCCGCAGCGGAGCGGCCGGCACCCCCTCTGCTCCATGTAGCCTCTGGTTCGTGGCTCCCACGGGAAACCCCCCCCAACCCCCATGCCGCATGGGCAGGAGACAGCACCCGGGGGCCGGCGGGCTCAGCGGGCGTCTCGGTCCCGGGCCCGTCTGGGTGAGGGACCGTAACTGGCGGGCGCGGGGGTGCACAGTCTGGGCAGAGCTCGGGAAGGAGGCCCCCCCCACCTCAAAGCCGCCGAGATCCGAGCTGCGCGGCCTCTGCTGCCGGGCCAGGCCGGGCCGCGCCGACGGCTGTGTGTGCCGATGCTCCTTCAGCCGCTCGAGGAGGAGGTAATAAATGGCAGCAAAGTGGTTGTAGCTGCTGTTCTGCAGTGACTGCAGGAGGCAGAGGGAAGCGGGGTCAGAGCGGGGCCAGCACGGGGAAGAGCGCGGCAACAGGGCTCCGCGGCGGGCGATGCCTCCGACGCTTCCCGAGCGGCTGAGGCTCCCTGACAGGCCTGTTCCCAGGGTTATTCCTGGGTGGCCGAGAATATCCTTTAGAGGAGTGGACAGCTGGCCCTTAAATTAGCCCATGTTCCCGTTTTAACTCGACTGGCGAGCGCCTGCTTTTCCTCGGAGTGAGCGCCTCTCCTGTCCAAGCCCGCGCGAGGCCGGGCGGTGGCCCTCACCTCCACGGTCCTCTGCCGGTCGATGCCCAGGGTGTGCATGATCCCCAACACCTGCTCATCGTAGCGGCCCAGGCTGGCGTTGTAGCTGAGCGCAGAGAAGGCCGTGCAGGCCTGCCGCGGCACCGGGGGCTCGGCCTGCATCCACCTGTGCTGCCGGATCTGGGCGATGGTGATGCGCTTGCTGGGGTCCACCACCAGCATGCGGCGGATCAGCGTCTCACAGTCTGGGGGGTGAGGGAGGCCCGCTGAGCCCGGGCGGCCCCCCTGCGTGCTCCCACCACCGCCCAGCTGGGTCCCGCAGTGGCCCCGCTGGGGACCAGGCTCCCCTCCTGAGCACGACACACGAGTGACCGTCCTAAAGGACGCCAAGACCGGGGGCGGTGGCCCCGGGCTGCCGCTCAGGACCTGCCACCAGGAGAGCCAGCAATCGAGGGGACGGGGTCCTGCCGACCTGCCCCAGACCGAGGACCAGGCCGGCCGGCATCCCAGAGACTAGGCCCTCTCGGGGGGACCGCAGAGCCTAGGCCCCCCCCCCCCCCCCCCCCGCCCCACAAGTAGGGCACTGAGGAAACACCCAGTGGGCTGGGCTTGTGTCGCAGGCGGCAGGGAAACAGCCCGCGGTAACGCGGCGCTGACTCACGGACCTGACGGCACACCCAGACACCGTCGGGCAGGCGTTTCGGGAACTAAACCCCCGCCCCCTGTGCAAACCCCTCGTCCCGGGTCGCCCACCTTGAGACATAAAGAACGGGATACGGAAGCGGCCCTCCAGCACCCGCTGCCGCAGCGCCGGCAGGTTGGGTCCGTCGAAGGGGAGCGACCCGCACACCAGCACGTACAGCACGACGCCGAGGCTCTGCAAAGACCACACGGACGGCCTGGGGTCAGCGCCCGCACGCCCGCGGCCGGGGCCCTGGCGTCTGACGCGCGCCGCCCACGCGGGCTCCTGGCTCCTACCCAGATGTCCAGCTGGGGGCCTTCGTACTCCTTCCCCTCAAAGACTTCTGGGGCCGCGTACGGGGGGCTCCCACACCACGTGGACAGGGGCTCTCCCGACTTGTAGAAATTCCCAAATCCAAAATCTGAGGGACAGGAAAACGGACGGTGAGGTCACGGCAGAAACGGCAGGGCCACGGACACAAAGGCGCGTGCGCCAACAGCGAGGGGCCTCGTGGGCCCTTAGGAGACCGCGCTTCCTGGGCTTGGGGACCACCCCCCGCCCCCCAGCCCCGGAGGGCCCCTTGCCTGCCAGCTTGATGTCCATGCTGCCGTCCAGCAGCAGGTTCTCGGTCTTCAGGTCCCGGTGGACGATGTGGTGGCTGTGGCAGTACTCCACGGCGGACAGAATCTGCCAGAATTTCTTCCGTGCCTCGTTCTCGCTGAGGTGCCCGTTGGAGGTCAGATAATCTGAGGAGTGACAAGCCGAAGCTCCAGCCCTAACGTCCAGAAGTCTGGCCGTCGTCTGGAGCGCGAGTGAGGAAAGCCGTACGACTTAAAGACGGGCAGACCCAAACGCCGGAGGGCGGATGCCTGACCAGCTAAACCCTCCGCTTTCAACAGATGTTAGACACAGGCGTGACTTACCAAACATTTCTCCATTTTTCGCGAATTCGGTGACAATGTAAAGCATATCCTTTGTCTCCATAACCTAAAAACACAAAGACCCAACGTTCAACCACACGGGAAGAGAACATGCCAACGGTATAAATAATCTACTCGAACCCCAGTAAATTTTTAACTTCCCCAAGGACGAGTGTATCCATTATCTTTAAAAAGGAAAGAAAATAAACACTTCTGTGTTAAAGAAACAGATACGGGGGTTCCTATTCAGGAAAAGAATTTAAAACATCAGAGGTGAATTCCTCACTAACCTGTCTATCCGAACGCACTAGAACCTTCCTGTATCACCGTGTTAACGCAACTGCCTCACCCACCCGCCGGCTCTGTGAGGCCTCAGAGGTCTGACACCCGCAGCATGCACCGCTAGGGCTTTCTTCTAGAAGCCTAGCAGGCAACAGATGATTCGGGCCAGCGCAAGCTGAATAACAGATAACGAACACCCCTTCCCCCATGCGTTACTGACATGATGAATTGGGCGCCGAGAAGCGGGTTCTGCCAGGTTAAGCCACGACAGACCGCTCTTTATACGGCAAACTCCTCAGCATGTGTCAGTAGCAACAGCCGAGGTCAAACACACCCTGCAGGCTCACTTACGGGTCGAGAATTTTACTTCACTGTGCAAACAATTTTAAAAAAGAGTTGAAAATACAGCTAGCTAAGAAACAAGGTAAATTTCACATCTTTGGTCCTAAAAGAAGGAAATCCAACTCCTTCCCAGGCGTTTTACAAGATTTCAAAGGGAGACACAGAGACAATACGTGCTCACAGGAACAGATTTCTTTAGGGTTCGAAATACAGTTTTTCCATAAAAAAGACACTTCAAAGGCAACTGGTTTAAGCCGTAAATCTAACAAGACAGCAAACACAGTGTGTGTGACCAAGAATCTCCAATGTCCTGAAGTGTCCTGGCCCTCCACATGTGCGGTAGAGGCCTGAGCAGGAAGGCCGAGGTTCGTCCCTCTCCTCAGTTCAAAAGAGAGCCGGAGAAAGAATTAAGAGTAAACGTGTTTGGGGTGTTGGGAAACCTCCAGGCAAGAGTGTAGTGTCTCAGCAAGGTTCTGGGGCCTGGGCCAGCTGGATGAGAGTTAGACACCAGCGTAAAACCCCGAGGAATGACATGCATTGCTGTCCCTATCACGTCCGAACAGTTAAAGCGACCCAGACAGCACCGAGAGGTTTCACTCGGCCAAAGGACCTCTCACTCTGATGCTGGGGGCGATGTGCTGTCTAACTGGGCTGCTCCACACAATGGGCCAGCAGAGGGACAGGAAGACCAGGAAGGTACACTCTGGCTCATCCCTCCAGCAAAGTCAAAAACAGGGCTCGGGCCACTCCTGCGGAAACAGGCCAGGCACATTTCTCAGGCACTGACATCAGCGGCCACGGAGGAAACTTCTTATCAAAGCAGCACAACTAAAAATGACACAGAAACAAAACACAAGCCCGAGCGTATGGTGGAGGGCTGATGACTGCACTCAGTGACTCTAAGTGAACTGTCATTCAGGGGAACACAAGCCCGGTGACACTACTTCCGTGGGACAGTTTTCTCTTCTAACGCCCTCTCCTGCCACGCTGCCCGCCGAGCCTCGCCGTGGGCACACACACACCCGCACCGTCCCGTGTTCCTCTCAGATTCGGGAGGCTTCACGAGAATCCCCAGAAGGAACTTACACCCGGCACAGCTGGATGAAATACCGAGCATTTGCAAAAAACGTAGCAGCCGGCATCTCATCTGCAGAAGTGGTCGGGTAAGAGTTGCTTTACTGCGCTCATTAAATCAGCGCTTGTAATATTCCAAAGATATGATTTATTAGTTAAAACACGGTAACGACAATAACGTCACAAAACAAACCGACAGACGGATAGGGCGAGGCATGTTCTTAACGCGGATTCAATGACAAGTTCTCTGTTCTCACCACGGCAAAAGTATTTTCATCTCTCCGTTTTTGACGGAAGAGTTGAAACGGGAAGACAAATGCCTTTGCAAAGAGCTCACGGAAACTGGTAAACGCAGCCGGTTTTAAAGTTGAATAATCATCTGCAAAGGGGGAAGCGTCTCCTTCCACTAAAATCTGTCCTATGCTAAATGCTTGACATGAGACAATACCTACGTCTGGTTGTTTGTTTTCTTAGGAAAGTGAATCTAACAACCGACCTCTACGCATTTAAAACTGGAGCGAATGACAATACGAAATAAAATTTTAACGAGGCAAATCTCAATTATGATCCAAAAGCAAGAAAATAATTGAAAACGCATCTGAAGAGCTTACAAAAATCAATCTATTTACCTTACACAGCCAACCCCCTGCCTCCCACACACACCCAAAGAGAGGGGCAAAATTCAGAATCGCAGACTTATTGTTGAAAATAAAAGGTAATAAATACACTTGCCAGAAGTAACAGCAAAAGGCAAACTTGAGTCCTTACCTGATAAAGCTTTATGATGTGAGGATGATTCAGAAGCTTCATGATCTGAACCTCACGATATATTTTCTCCAAATTACTGGAGTCTAATCGAGTTTTATCGATTATTTTTATTGCAACCTACAGTTTAAAAGAAAGGATATTTTTGTCCCCAAACGCCTTTCATTGACATGTTTTGTTTTTTGCAGCTTAATTTCTGTAACACTTTATGTCCCCAAAGGTCACAAAAAGTTGGGGGGAAAAAAAAACAAGTCACCATTAATGGGACTTAAAGTTAAGGAAGTATCTTAAATGTCTTCTAGCTCACTTTACAGGGCCTCGGCCTGGATCCCAGAGCCCCACACTCCTGGGTCATCCGGTCATTACTCTCTCTGCTGCCCCCTAATATTTGTCAAAATTATTCAGAATCATAACATAAAGCATTTTCTCCTCGTGGAACTGAGAACTGTCAGCCCTGAGACATTGCACGATGAACCCTGAGGACAGGGAAACCACCCAGCCGCCCCCAGGGAGGGTCCTCACAGGCCAGGTCTGGCACACACCTGGGTTTTGGTGACTCGATGCCGGGCCAGCTTCACTACGGCGAAATTGCCCTTGCCCAGGGTCCTCTCGACGTCGTAGAAGCCCACCCGGAGGGGCTTCTGCTGGCTCTGGCTGGAGCCCGCGGGGGCCGCACTCAACTCTGACATGATCACCATGGCTCCGGGGCGCACCTGCGGGCCACCCGGGAGCGCACTCAACACCGGACCTGCCTGACCCGACCCGGGGCGGCGGCTCGCGCTCCCCGCCGCCCCCTCACTCTGCTCCTTTCTAAACACCTCACCTCGCCGGGCGCTTGCCCGCTCCCACGCCCGCTCCCACGCCCGCTCCCGACACTCCGGCTCCCAAGACCCCCAGCCCTTCGGGCGTGTGGACCCCCTCCACCCTGCGATCCGCGGTCGACTCCATCCCGACCCCCCGACCCCCCAGCCCCGCGGGGCGCGTGGGCCCGCTCCCACCCTCACCGCCCCCTGCCGGTCC